TGATGGGAGTTGGGAAATGCAAAGTCGGTCTTGGCCTTTTCCGCTAACTTGGAGCATGTGCATGTACATTTTGGTGCAAATCCGTCTAAAATTGCGGCCGTGCATTCGTTACACACACACAAACACACACACACACATCCCGCCTTTTATCGATAGAGATATGAATTAATATATTTACAAGAAAATAAATAAAATGATATTAATAATACCCCCCGCAATTCTCAAACGGGGTAGAAACATCTGTTAATTAAATGAAATCACTTTGGGGCTTTTGATTCTATAAAACACACATTCGTTCCACCACTTACTCAAACACGCATTCATTCAAACATAACAACAAATACGAAAATCAGACCAAAAATACGAAAGGTGTCCCACATCCACTAAAATAACTGACAATTCTGAGAGCCTAACCGAGGAGGAAACGGGGAATTAAACTAAATAAAATAGGGACCACAATAAAAGGAGTCACGAGCATACACCTCCTCGCTAAGTTAACTTTGAAGGAAGAAAACTAAAGACATAAAACAACCCTAAATTAACCTAATTTTGGATTGGGTTTCTAATTTTCTAGGACACAATTCTTATACCTGATTGGCATCAAAGTGTCACTCTAAATCGGCTCCTCTTACTCGACAAAAACGCGAAAGACTCACCAACTATTTGCCAAATTCTGATGGATGGAGCCGCCGCCTTTCTGTCCTAATCTTGACTTTAAACTGATGCTTAAAGAGCAAGATCTGTTGTGAAGATATGTAGTTCTCGTCTTCATAGAATTTCTTCTGACGGGTCCTCCATATCACGACTCTTATTATGCCTAAGCAAAAGAAGACATAGTTTGATCCTTCATAGTTTGATCCTTCAAAGTTTGATCCTTCATAGTTTGATCGACAAAGACGCTACCACATTGCTACAGATAGAACTGGCATCAAGAAAGAAAAACGTTCAGCGCAGCATGTGAACCATGATATCTTCAATAAACTAGCACAACAGAACTACAACTCTGCAATTAAAGAAGGTGTGATCCAATGTCTCCACCCCAAATAACAGCGGGCGCATTTTGGAGATTTTCCAGGAGCACCCAACAGTCTTTTGCTGATTCAGAGGGCCCTCGCGAATCTCCAACCAGTTGACTGTTACCTAACCATTAGTGAGGCATTTCAACCCGACCATATAGAGCGAGGTCACTGCTTTGTAAGATCGAGATCGTCTATAAGGTCATCTCCAACGGACTCCTTGGCTAACACGTAATATAATAAATACCTTATCCGTCTCTGGATATAGGGGTTTCGGAACAATCAGATTTTTACGATAGAAGGAGCACTTGCCTCGAGGTAAACAGTGGGGGTGATTCATCCTCGCACGAGTGCACATTTCTTAGGGATAGGAAGTTTTTACGGGCGTCTTCCTTCCAGCATTTACCCTCACCATCTGATTGCTGACACATTCGATCGAGGAACCCGATGAAAAGCGTGTGTTTAATAATTTCAACGTTAGACATACCCAGACCGCCTTCAGAAGGGTGGAGATCTCATGAAGTACCTTGTTGGGTAGGTGGCTTGCCTCCCCACAAAGAGAACAAGGCCCTTAATAATGTCATTTGTGTGCTCGACGGAATCGGAAGTACGGAGAGTCGGTAAAGAAGAATCGAGTCGATGTGCACGGCACATACTTCCGCCCTCCATTTTAAGGAAAGACTATTCCGAGACGACAAATGAAATTCGACCTCGACCTTCTCCCACACTTTCGACCAATTCATTTCCATCAAGAGACCAGGACCAAACAAGTCGCCGAGTAGCTTGACAAGCCCGTCCGACCAGAGGAAACGTCCGGGAATAGAAACTGCCTTCCACGCACTGAACCGCAAGCTAACAGGTTTATCACGGTTGATCTTGACCCCTGTCACTGTCTAGAACCTTCTGATTTATTAACCGACTTCGTCAATTTCAGCTCTACTCAGAACAAGAACCGAAATGTCGTCAGCATAGGTAGAATACCGGATTCGTCTTTAACTTGCGAAGGAAATATTCCAACGCAAGAACGTACAGCAAAGGCAAAAGCGAACAACCTTAACAAAGGCAGCGAAACAATATCAAAGTCTCCAATCGAACCCTATTCACTTCCACCAGCACACCGGGAGTCGGATCCATGTGCGAAAGTACACCCTGAAACCGGCCGCCGAAAGGACAGCCTTCAGAAATTGATAGCCAACGTTAATGAATGCCTTGTACTGACCGAACCTGATCAGCGCAGCTTAACTGTCGACTTGCTCGATGATCAAGCGTACCATATGAAGGTTGTCCTGTCGTTCACAGCACAAGCTTGTTCGGAACCAATCATACTAAAGAGGACTGCCTGCAAACGGCTGGCTAAGACCTTGGCTAAAATATTTTACTCTGCGCTTAACATTGTTAAAGACCGTAAGTTACCTACACATCATCCTCACTGTTTTTGTCCTTGCGTAGAAATTTGATCACACCCTTTGGTATGACGTTGAGGTATAGACCCTACTCCACCAAGTTGTTGTAAATCAGTGCCAGCAAAAGAACAAGGCCGGCGACTGCCTCAAGTACAGTTCGTAGTGTAGACCATCTAATCCCGTAGATTAGTCCCGGCCAACCAACTTCAACGCTGTCCAGATTTCCGACTATATGATAGGTCCCTCGCACCCAGCCACTTCAGCTGCTTAGAGGCGAGAAAACTCGGTCAAATAAGCCTCACATATACCGTTGTAGTTACGGTTCGATTTTCTGGCAATGTGACGCACGCGACATGTAGGGGTCAATAATCTTGTCATTAGGCAGGGCCATAATCTTTTTTTTTTATGATAGAGGAGACAGGGCCGAGGCTACAGGGACCGGCACCCCCACTGCTTTGGTTTCTCCGGTTTGACTCCAGATATACTTTTATTTTTTTTTTATTTTTTTATTTCTCTATTTTCTCCCAGATCGGTTAATTTTACTTTTGTATCCCAGAAATAGTGGTAGCATACGACGTCAGGGCGTCTCCCTTAGAGCTGGTAGATGAAATGGGACTGTTGATGTTTTTTTGCCCTGAAGGTTTCAGGGGACTGCATCCCCGCTCTTTTACGCTTTTCTCCGCCTCTACCAATGACACCGCCATTCCACTGCTTCCTTTTCTTTTTTCGCACTTGCACAAGCTGTCGGTTTGTAGGGGGGCGTGACTTGAATTGGTCCACCTGCGAAAGTACCATAGTCTAGTGCTCATGGCAACAATTACCACGCAAGTATTTATAGAAATGACACAGAGAGGCAACCTTACGGTAGTGGGTAAGTGACTGAAGACGAGCCGCCAGATCAGGACCAATAATATTGCTGATTCTCCTTTGGATTATATCAAGGAGTTCAAGTTAAGCTCAGGGGCACTGGACCATATCTGACAGTAATATTCTAAGCATGGACGAATGGTAGACTTATAGATATGTAAGATAGATTTTGGAGATAAAAAAAAGTTGTCTCGCACGGCACAGTAAACTAACTTTCTTAGCAGCTGATCTAACAATGGATTCAATATAGTCTTCACACTTAATGTCAGCTGAGAACTCAGCAGGAAAAGGCGCATCGCGTCATTTTCCTGAAAGATGTATCGGGCTAAAAAAATTCACAACGATTAATATTAACTATAGGAATTTGTTTGGATTATAGACGTATCAATTCTTAAGTTATTTAAAGAAGGGAACGATTAAGTTGGTGTGTGATTCAGAAGAAAAAATAAAGCATTTAGTGGTTATTTCACGAATTGGGTAAAAAGTTTAGAGTCGCGTAAGAATATAATATTCTTATGAATTTCGGATTCTACTGTCATGTAAAATCTTGTCTTCATTCAGAATCTGGATTATTTTGGATCAATTGTCTTGTTGAAGAGTTCTTTAAAATTGTTTATTTGATAATTTTATGTTCGAATTTGGTTTAGATCTCGACAGTTTTCTAATATGTTTTTCCTTGTGTATTTTTTCTTGACAAGCAATACACATTGATTGTTCTTCCTTTCCTAGACGGTGATTAGGTTTAATTTACGTATGCGGAGTCTGGCCAACACAATATCATCCCTTCTTTACTCACTGGATTCTGGTTTCCACTCTCCTACGGTGCGGCTGATGCTGGTAAAATGTGAAAAGGGATCTACACGAACAGCAATATGCACTGAAAGATCTGAAATTCTTTGTTAGCTTTGACGATATCTATTGCTTCCGGGCTTCGACTGATTGATCCATTTAAATTTCTAAGCAAAAGAAAACGAAACCTCTTGCTTCCTGTGAGAAAAGCTGAATTGTGTCTAACATACATGATTTATAATTAAAGTGACCAATCCAATAAACAACTAGATAGAACATTGCAAATATCAAAATGAAGTAAATGTATTTCTCTTTAGATTAAAAGGGTTAACGGATAAATAACGTCTCCAATACTTCAACATCTTTTTTGCCAGCTAAGTGACAATGGTTTCGAAATGAAATACAAGTGCTGGGAATTTACTCAAATAACTAAATTTCAGAATACATTTTAAAATACGACATTGACCAGGAATATTTCAGCATTTTCTTTCAAAAATATACTACTTGATTGAAAAGAGGAATCCTCCAACAGTATAAAACTATTAAATAAGAGAGAATAATAAAACGGACATCAAAATGATGTACATTTATTTGTCTCTAAAATTACGTGGGTTGATTGAAAAATAAGATCTCCGGGTTGATACGACATGTTTTACATCAGATTGAACAGGACTTTATATAAATATGAAGTCATTTTATCTCCCAAATTGAGTTGATTGGCATAAAAGATCTCTAGTCGTATATGATATGTTTTAAATCATATAGGATAGGAATAGATACCAATATGAATTTTATTTGTCTGCGAAATTACGTGGGTTGATTAAGTGAGTTCGTCAGGCCTATTAAAGGAATACTAGGCCAGATAGAATTTTGAGACTAGTATCAAAATTATGTGAATTTCAAGGCCCAAAATGAACAACATCATGTTGAAACACCAGTTCCAGTACGATCACCGAAGTTAAGTAACATCGAGCCTGGTCAGTACTTAGATGGGTGACTGCTTAGGAATACCAAGCGCTGTAAGCTTAGATGTGTGTGTGGTGTAATGGATAATGTAAGGGAATATTTAATCGGACAGCGGAATTTCAATTCCACTTGGGTTCGTGATAATTGGAAATGTATGGATTCACCTCTTCTCCCACACTTTTGGCTTAATTAATAAGACATATCACCGAATGGTTATTATCTAAAAAAATTCTTACAATCTAAAAGTGTTTTCTGCCTTTAAATAACCTCCAAAGGGTCGATAATCTATAAAAAAATCAATAAATCAACCACAAATGCTGATTGATAAGCAAGGTCTCCAATCCCAAAAGTATGTTCTAGATCAGATAGAATAAAGAAACTCGTAAAAACAAGCGAATTATTAAGTTCAAGAAGACGAAGATTGATTAATAAGTAGTTTTCAGTTGTATGAGCCAAGTTTTAGACAAGTTGAAACTGGTATCAAATGGATTGGATTGATTCATTTTGAAATTTATGTGCATTTACTGATAAGTAGAAAAATTTTGAGGCAAATTGAATAACGAAAATTTGTTAGAATAAAGTACACGATGTGCAAAAAATTTGACCAAATATCTAAACATTTTAGAATACCATAATAACCGGGCCGAGTTCATTTCGACGTTTCCCTTCAAACTTATTCGGTTTGATTGAAAAGTAAGTCCTCTGATCGTATAAAAATTAGTCCAGAAAAAATAATGAAACTAGTATTAAAATTAATTAAATTTGTTCAGAAAATTATGTTTAATAATTAATAAGTAATGTTTTATTCTATGTATTTTGGATCAAATAAAATAATAAAGCAAACAGCAAAAATGGATCATTTTTTCTCTTAAAAATCAGGACTTCTGACGGATCGATATGATCTCCAATCCTCAAAAGCAATTTTTAGACCAGATAGAATAATTAGACTAGTGTCAAAATTATGTAAATTTATTTGTCTTCAAAATGAGACGGTTAAATGCTAAGATTCCCTCTCCTATAAAATGAATTTTAAACAATGGATCAATTAAATCTGCATCAAAATAAATGACGTTTTTCAAAATTATATCTTTCTTTTTTTAGTGTATCCTTAAAGTATTTTCTCATTAGAACCATGTCTTATTCCCAACTTTCACGTTCGTTTTATATTCTATCCAAGAAGAATGTTTCTGGTTTACCAAATCCAATTGGGCACAGAAACTTCAACTTCGACACCGGATGAAAAACGTAGACCTTTCAACTTTCAATGCCACATTCAACTGAACATTGATCATGCTGAATTGAGGCTGCGCAGACGACGTTTCACTATTGTGAATTTCAGGCTCCCCTCAATTTGCGCCTTTTGTTACCTGCAATGGGGGATTTTTTTTATTTTCTTTTTGTCATGATTCACTAAGAATGTCTTTTCAAGTCTTACAAAGGTTGACTGCTTTTGTACAACTGCAAATTACAATTTGTAGCTAAACTTTGAGTGCCTAAAAATCTATCACTGGTCACTGTTCGTAGCTAAACACGGTCATAGTAGCCATGACTAAGAAACGGCTTCTTTTAACTTAATGCCGTCTTTTAACCAACGGATGAAAAGCAAATTTCAACAGAGCTTTATATTTTACCAAATGTAATATAATCGATCATGGCAAGGCATGACGACATTAGTCACGTTCTCATCAACGTGGCGTGACTTCCCTCTGTCTTTTCTACAGATATTTTCATAGCAACTCTTCCGATGAGCTTTTTTTCACTTATACATCGACTATATGAATCTAAGCGTGCTCCTAGATTGACAACTAGGTTTCATCGATTTACTCTTGAATTAGTTGGATGCAACCCGAACTTCTATTCTAACAGCATTTTTTCTCGTACTTCCCACCTGTGGAACTCCCTTCCGATTTCATGCTTCCCTGATAACTACCATCTTAAAAAATGTAAATTCCACGTCAAGCGCCTTATTTTACCTTCTTGATACCACTTCCTTTATTGTCTTTTCCTCAATCCTCCTCACTAAAGTCTTCTCGTTCTCTTTCACAGCTTGTAACCTCCTGGTTTCTGGTTACATTGTCGCCTTGCTTGGAGTAATACGATTTAACAGAATACATGTTCACTTGCAGCTCTTTCACGTTGAAACACCGATTCTCGAGCGAAATTAAGCAACATCGTACCTGCTCGTTACTTAAAATGTTGGAATGCCAGGGAATGGGATCTTGTATGTACGGATGGGGTAATGGTTAAGGATCCTGGATGAGAAATCGGATAGGCGGACGCGAATTCAATTAGGGTCCGTTATATTCACTTACGTAAATTACTTTAGGTGATCATGAATCGAAAAGAGACGTGATCACCCAATCGTGCCACATCCGCCCCTACGAACACGTATTGAGCCAGCGCGGGAGGGCAATGACCCAGTCCTCCCTATAAGCTGGAGAAAGCCCTAGGTCCAACAACGTGCCTTCAATAATAATAAGAAAAATAAGAAGAAAGAAGAAGAAAAAGAAGAAGAAAGAAGAAGAAACGTTCACAGATCTTCCGCTTCACTATTAGCGACGCCACGCGTTAGGATACTTTACATATCAATCAACTCTCATATATTCTCATGAGAAAATCTCGATTGCGGCATTATTAACGATATTTACCAACAGCCGGATGATGAATGACTTTCTTAATCGTGTCGTACAGTATTAAATATTATTCCATGTCTTGCAGAGTAAAGGAAAGTGGGGTTAAAGCAACGACTTTACATCATGAGCATTTCAGCGTTATCGCAGTTTAAGTTGATTCATAGCTTACTGATTGCCGTTCGCGCGAAAATAAATTCGAGCTGGATAGACACTAACAGAGTGGTTCCCAGATACATAGGTTATATCGCCCACCTTGCGATCCCAGGTTGTCTCACTATTGTCTACATTTTGAATTATGTTATTTCATTCACCACGAGGACTCCTTCTCGTTTCCTTCCTTGGAAAAAATTATTTACCTTTCCATTGAAGCACAGTGACTTTCGTTTAAGTATTATTATTCAGACGATATCTTCCGTTTGATAAACACACATACAAAGAGAGAGAGAGAGAGAGAGAGAGAGAGAGAGAGAGAGTGCAAAATACTACCAGACTTTTCTCGTGCGGAGTACTACCTGAAAGATCTTGCTTACAGGCTCAAACCGGAAACCATACCTGAATTAAACAAGTAATTTTCTGATAAACATTTGTATCAATGTTGCTGATAGGGTGTGCATACGCAGACGAGCAAATAAATAATCGTCAAATATATACATGAGGTGTAAACATAATAGTATTCGATGTGGTTATACGGAACAAAGATAAGCCATTTGTTTACTTTTAACAACACATCTTGTGAACGACGAGCTGTTAATCCAGCGAAACGTTAGTCGCACACGAAAACGTAGGCACACGTATATGTACTAATTAACACACACACGCACACACACGCACACATATATATCTATATCTATCTATCTATCTATATATATATATATATATATATATATATGTGTGTGTGTGTGTGTGTGTGTGTAGAAACACAATTAATTAACACACACACACACATATATGTGTGTGTGTGTGTGTGTGTAGAAAATAGGAAAGAACTCGTTAGGTAAATAATCCAAAGTTCTTTAGTATTATGCAGCGTTGGAATCATGTCTGTAAACAAATAATTACACATACCTACACACACACACACACACACACACACACACACACACACACACACACACACATATATATATATATATATATATATATATATGTGAAAATATATAGAAAATAGGAAAGAACTGGTTAGGTAAATAATCCAAAGTCCCTTAGTATTTTAGTTATTATTTTTAAAAAATAGTGCTCGATACAAAAGTAGAGCATAAATATAATTATTTATTTAAAAATATGATTCCAAATCGCTACATAAGAGGTCTCATGTTTCAAAACTCATTTAACTTTTGGTGTCTTATTTGTTTCCTTCAGGTAAAGTTAAATGGAAAATTATTGACAAGGCTAGAATATGTAAAGCTTGGGATGACCCATGCCCTTTGTGCCTCCATGAAAAATTGCACATTATTAAACTTCTGAATAATAATAATCTATTAAATAATAGACACGAGTTAACGGTTTTTTGTAGGCATCATCAGATTTTTGGTTTGAAAAAAAAAAAAATTATATAACTTGTTTAACAAATAACCCAATCATCAGATTCATAGTAGAAATTATTAACTACAAACTTGCATACAACATAACACCCTTCATAATCCATAGCCCAAATTAGTAGTTTAAACACCTTACATAAAAGATAACCCTTTATGAAGTCGTCAAAAAACAAACGTTACGAAAGTCTTTCTTTTTATATGCACAATTCCCTTTCATAATAAAATAAAATAAAATAAATAAATAAATCTCCATAGACAAGCCAACTTGACGAAAGCTTAATACATCTTCGTTTCATTTTTGACACCCTCACCTTCCCCCGACTTGACACCTTGAAAGTATCTCTATACCGCTACTTATCATTAACACCCTACACTCGCCTACCCATTTTAGACAATTCGCCCTAGCTGTTACCATGGTGATTTTGATTTCAATTTTTAAAACAAGTAAATTTCAGATATACGTTATTCCAACAAAAATTTCGCTTGAAGATGGAATGGAGCCCTTTTTAATTTTAACTCAATTTAATTTAAAGGATTATATTGAAGTTTTCGGCTCTTGTTTTGAAACATGAGACCTCTTATGTAGCGATTTGGAATCATATTTTTAAATAAATAATTATATATATATATATGTATATATATATATATTTATATATATAATATTAGTGGTTACTATACACATACATTTGCAATCATATATCTAAAATCTATAATATATATACATATATATACACACACACACATATATATGTATAAAAATAATTCCAAGAGGATGGAATCCAGGTAGAACTCAATGTCCAGGACAGAGTAAGGCTATATAAAAAAGGCTTAAACACTAATATTCCATGGTCATAATTTATTCCATTTTTTTAATTTGTAGGTCTGAT